ATTCGAACCGGTAGTTCCTGAGATAAGCCCATTCAAACAAACAAACACCCTTTTAGCGATCGCGTAAAGTCTTCCGGGTTCTCCATAATTTCTATATTCAATTTTCAATATTATCATTTCCTGTTAATGACGATGTTACTTTCTGGGTACAGAGATAATATACGAAAGATATTATTTTAAATATATATAAATGAAAAGCATATAAAACTACTTATAGAGTGCTTCTCGCAGGTACATAGTGATTAATAGAAGAAACACGTCCCAATTCGTCCTTCCGAAGTCGATTTACAATGTAGAAGGTTCTGTTGCTGAAAGAATTCGGGACGAGCCATTTATCATGTGTCAGTTAGGTCCCGACACGTATTCGTTAACTTGCGACAAATGGTTAGAGGGACGTGGTCACTGTCAATATGATGGAACATCTTCGAATTTGAGATTGAGGTCTGATGGCAAAATTCGGCTCTCAGCTTCTTGATATATTTTGTCCCATTTTGCCCTGTGGGGCATGGGGCGAACACATTTCTGTGCCCATTTTATTTATGTACGAGCATGTAGATGATCAGATTACCTTTCCTCGTTCGACCTTAACAATTTAATATTACCCCGGGATTCTTAACCAGGATAATAGCTTTAACCATTTAACGAAAGTGATCTTTGTTACAGTAGGTAAATCCTGTTAGAGGGTAGATACATTTTTGTGCAGGATATCATTGTCTTTCGGGTGACAATGTTATGCTGAACGATGGCCGTGAAAGCCTTACACAATTTACACTTTTGTGCATTTAAATTTATTTATACATTTGTCATTTCCTATAAATTGTTAAATTATTCGCTATACCTGAATTGTTGCGTGCCTCTAGCTGAAGACAGCTCAAAACAATAGATATCTCTAAGTACAATAATACTATTGTAGAACTTCTAGAAAGTTCCAAAGACAGGCAGCCTGTGCATTATGGAACAGTAATGACTTTCCGAACTTTAAGTTCTGTCAAAACGAGCTATCGAGTTCATCGAGAATTTCTTGGTATTCTGTTTTTAAAAGTTATCTGTTTCCTTTTTTATTTAATACTATGGAGGCACTCTAAAATACTTTTAAATAAATTAATTTAAGTATTTAAAAAATAATTTTTATTTGCCGTCAAAGACACGTCAACATAATGAACTTATTTCGTGATAAATAGATTTCACTTGATAGAGGTCGGATGTTCGTATCTCCAAAATCAATCTCGTTCTAAAATAAATACATTGCGTTAAAATAAAACACTTTAACGGTTTAAAACGCGATATATTAGTCTCCCCGTGACCATGGCTTCTCACAAAGCATCCAAAACGTGGGGCCGAAGTTAAAAATCATTTTCAAATAAGTTTAACTAATATATCGCGTTTTAAACCGTTAAAGTGTTTTATTTAAATGTGTATTCGCGTAAGCTATAGACAGTATTTAAAAAATTGTAAAATATTACTTACTTGAAAATAAAACCTATCAGTGAACCGGATTCATAAATATGTTCACCCCACACTACATCAGGATAAAGAGGAATTCAAAATCACACACACACACACACACGCACATAACACTTAATTTTCTAAAACAATAGAAAATGAATAAACTATAAAAAAGTATTATAATTATAATCAAAATTAAGCTATTGTGTACACTCTCACTTAAGAATTAATGTAATAATTTAAATGCCGTTTATTTCAGGATTGCAGTTTCAATATTTGCCTTCAGTTCATGATTTCAGTTCACTGAAATAAGGGTTGGCATTACACTATCGTTTTATACTTTTCGTATTTTGTAGACGTTCGTAATTCGTCTGGTTTTGCCTTTTTTCCTTATACGTGACCCATGGGGAAAATTTAGTCTGAAAGTGGCAGAATTTTCTTTTTTATAAAGGAGAACCCAAATAATGTTAACAAAAATCTTCACGTATAATTAATTAAAAATTTAATACTTAAATAGATCAGAAATACACGAATACACTCTTCTGATCTTATTATCTATGCATGAATATCCAAAGCCAGAATAGGTAGACATGTCTACATATTATGGCTGGGCGTGTTCTATCTGTTCTCCTCTATTATAAAATTACTAAGTAGGACACCTCCGTGCAGGTTCGATTCTTGTATAACGTCAAATATCATTTGTTGCGTGCTCGAAACTATATTTCCTTTTTTTGGTCCAATATTACATAGGAAATATAAATTTATTGTAAAAAGTTACAAACTTACACGCGACACGAAAACTACTTAAAAATATAATTTACAATCTATTACTCCCTGTAAGACGAGTACGCCGCAAAAATGACGTGAATTATGTATATATTCACGTCAAAGATTTCTAAAGATAGCTTAATCAATAGCTCCATGGTATAATAACGATTGATTCTGACGTAGACCTAATAGGAAAATCAATAATAAGATCTGAAAGGATTACTCGACTGCGAAATACCGTTGTGTTATTGGGTTATTTAAGAACTGGTAAATGTTAATTTAGACTTTTAGAGTCCTTTTTCTTTAACTGGTTAGACGTTCATAAGTATCTAGTTAAGTTTATATATAAAGTGAAATTCCGTCTCCGTATATATTCTAACCGTATTTAATTACAGACCAAATATAAATTAGACTTTTATATTGTCCCACTGATATCTATATCTATACTACTATATAAAGATGAAGAGTTTATTTGTTTGAAAGCTCTAATCTCAGGAACTACTGGTTGGAATTCAAAACTTATTTTTGTGTCGAGGAAGGCTATAGGCTATAAAACATCACGTGGCGACAAATAGGAGCTAAGAAACAGCGAGAAATGAAAAAACAAGTTTTTAATAATCTTTGTGGGTTTCCGTTGCGTAAGCTGCGATAAGGTCCCCTCTTCATCATTTGCAAAAGCCAATTTAAATGTGTAAAATAAGTATTCCACCCGGACGAAGTCGCTGACATAGCTAGGTTATTTATAAGTTTTCCTGGGAGTTGAATCTGGAACATCTGAAACTTCAGCACTACGCGAGCCACGGCGCGGTGGATACTTCTATCATATAATACGATCCTGTGTCACAAATAACTGCATCATTTTTATTTTAAAGCGCTAACTATGTGTAAACTGATAAAGCGACGCTACCCAAAAATAAACCGCCTCTAATGAGGCCACTTGATTAATGGTACTTATTAACGGCTGGCTGTCATTTTCACTTGTTCTTAACGACATCATTTATGGGGAAAATGTAATGACGTAATAAAGGAAAATGTCTCTGCTTATAATAATAATGTGATTCGGGCTTTGGGGGAAATAGGAGATTTTATTTCATTAGGCTCGGAATTTTTATTCAGTTCTTGCACTGCGGTATATTTCACTCCGCCATGTTTTATGTACTATTTTTTTATTCAATACTAATACATAGTTATAACATGAACAAACGAAAAGGTAAATTAATGCTTTAAAAACACAATTCTAATAATTGGGTTAATTTTGGTTTTGCAAACCTCGTCTTCACCTTTATAATATTGAAGCTGTTACCCTTACAGCTGTAACCTCTTATATAGAAGCAGTAAGAGTTGAGATGAGATGTAGAGATGTTTAGATTTGTTAGCTACATGCAAATGACTATTCTATCGTGGTAGTTGAAAAGATACACGTATGATAAATTAATTTAAAATGTTCAACGGACACGTAATATAGTAAGTTTGCTTCCCTCGTATGAACGAATTTTCTCAAACTAAATTTTATCTGAAATTATACAAAACATCCTTTCTCTTTATATCAGCTTCTAGAGATATGTAACTATAATAGCTCGAGGTTTTCTTCTCCCTTCGGATCCCTGGTATTACTCATAACTCATGATCTGCGGCTTATTACATCATCATACCGGGTTAATTACTTACATTTTACGAACCATTTATCACAGCCGTCTATTTACTGCTATGCGAAAATAAATGATCGTTAGACAAGTAACGAAATTATTAGATTTAGTTTAATAAATTTGTCGGAAATACACAGTTGATTACTTTAAGCATAATATATACTAATATTTCTATTTGAAACCTCTTTTTCCATTTAATTCCATATAACATCTAAACAAAATGGGGTGTAGACCTGTTTTCAACTTTGGATATTCGGAAATCTAAACCGAAACGCGATTAAACTTCTGTTTTTCACTACGGAAGTATTCGTCGAATTTGATTTACCTACCTATTTAATATTTAGACTTCAGATATTCAAATTTCAGAATATAAATTGATTAGAAAAATTTGACCCTATTATATTAAGAGTTATGTGTTATTCTAAGTTTTAATGTGTATTTTATCACCACCACTTCGTAGACTAGTTTCGTAGACGTAGTTTTTGTACTTTGTAGCCGAGTGTAATGTCACCGGATGGTGCTCCAACCCGATATTGTACTGCGTTTCGTTTTGCAACCATCTTGACCTCTCCAATATATCCGATAATAATTTAATTGTAGGCTGTGTATTACTTTTTTATCGACCATTACCTTTTTTCATTTACTACAATTGATATAACAAAGTTTAACAATGATTATTTAAACAGGGACAAACACACGCATTGAGTCGTTGTCTTTTTCCATGGTATTGAGGCATATCTCTGAAAATATATTTTCATCTTATTTATTATAGCAATATTTTAAGCAATTTAGTTAAGCGGAATGTTTCTGTGAGGATATGAAGTTACATGTTTGTAAATATTTGCCGATGTCGGGCAATTGAATTGTAGATTTCGTCCTTGTTACTCAGTTAATCGGGTTAACCCAAATGTATTATAATGTGGCACGTGGAAAAGTCGTTACAATATTTTGTTACAGTAGTGCAGTCAAAAGCCAGTTATAACCTATAAATTGTAATTATATTACGTCATTGCTTAAGTGGTAGGTAGGCATCCTTTTTACTGCCTCATTTAACTCTACTAGAAATCATGAGTTCCAGGATTCGAAGCCTGAGTTAAATAAAATGGTGTACTTGGCGTTATCACCCTAATAACATGCAGAATGTTATTGCCGTTGGTCCCAGTTATTACAGTACTATACTGGGTAGCTAAGCTCGTACCGTCTCCCCAATGCGGAGACCTGAATCCAGGTGTGGGAAAATTAAATCGGCCATTTTAGTCAATAAATTTAACAATGGTATCATAATTTTTATTGATTTTAATACTATTGTCTCACCTATAATCTAATTAAAATCTTACTCTTCTTATAATTGACTTATAATTTTATTAAGATGTTCGTAAAAAGAGAGTCAAAATTACTAAAACTAGATTCGGGTGATCAAGTTTCGCTCTTTACCATGTTTGGGTAATATTTACTTAATTTAGTTAACCTTCCCGAGAGTACTCCAGTGGTTATAACTGAATTAAGGGAAAGTAGGAAAACAGACTCCTTTTAATACAATTTCGAAGCGAGGTTTGTTTCATTAATTCAGAAATTCTTACACGCTTTTCCTTCAACATTAATTTTACCATAAAATGAATGGTGCCAAGGTTTTACTACTTATTTCCTTTAGTTCTTACCAATTCAACTGTTTTCTCTTTGTATTATTTAAGCGTAAATACTATTTTGTATATTCTACGTCTCTGGGTACTCTAAAAAAATATTATTAATATTTCATTGTAATATAATCTGTGGTATTAAATACTAATAGACTAAAACCGTAAATTCGCAATACAGTTTCAATTTCAGAACAGAACAATTCCAAAATCGGTCGACAACAGTATAAGCAGTAGTAACGTATGTCAAATTCGTTTAGGTTTTTTTCGGATATTTTTTTAATAAAGGGGACAGCATGCGGTTCGCTTGATGAAAGTTAAAATACACTAGTCATACAGCATCTAATCAAGATGCACTGTCTACCTATTTCGGCTTTGAATATTTAAAAATCCACTAACGGAAAACGAAACGCGATTCTACCGCGGCTACGTCTTCTACGTACGAAAGGTTTTCTACGTATTTTTTGCGAATGTCAACCTTATGTAACAACTAATCCGCGACGTCGTTCGCGTCCCATCTTTCGAGTCTCATTGTTCCTGCGTGTTAATCTTAAAATATAGACATATACTGTCGCGAACATATTTTATAAGATCATTTAAAGAGGAATCTTTTTTTAATTCATATTGTTATGGTTTCTTGAACCATTTTCATTTCCCCGTTTCTTCCACATTTCCGTTTCTCTCCGCTCTTAGTGGACGCATCGTGATGATTTATAGCCTTAAGCCTTCCTCGACAAATGATCTAACCGACAACAATAATTTTTCAATTCGAACCAGTTTTTCCTGAGATGAGTGCGTCCAAACAACAAACTCTTCAGCTTTATATATTAGTATAGATTATACGCTGAGACATGAAAGTTTGCTGTAAGGGACGGAAGGTTATACACGTGCGTGTACAATATTCATGGGAAATTCATTTTCATTTTGTTACAGGAAAGTAATCCCCCCTGCACATAGTTGAAGAGGATAGCTACGAAAAGGACGTACTGTTTTACGTTAATATCGGCGATCCGGAATTGCTAGATGGTATGAGTTACTTATTTTATTTATATACTAGCTGTGTCAGCGAATTCGTCCGCGTAGAATAGTAATTTTGGGTATCATAATTTGGTTTTGCAAATCTTTATAAATTATATACAATATAGTTATCCGTCGCGGTCGGTTACGTCCCGTTGTTCTTGCAAGTTAATCTTAAAAGATAGACATCATTAAAAAACTAATCATTATTTCTTAAATATTATCTTGAACTGTATTCGCAGCGTAATCATCGGGAACCCATAATGATAAATAAATTTTCCCATTCTTTTCACATTTTGCGCCATTTCTTCGCTTCTATTAGTCACAGCGCTATGTTTTATAGCCTTTCCCGATAACTGCTCTAACTAACACAAAAATAATTTTCGATTCATAGTTTCTTAGATTAGCGCGTTCAAACAAACAAACTCTTTAGCCTTATATTAGTACGTAGAAGTATAGATATTAAAATTTCTTAGCCAAAATGTTACAACAGTAAATTTCACTTGAATGATTTGTTCGTTTTCTAAGGTGATAAAACATAAGCGTTATTAATTGATATATTGAGATGTAGCTGTTTTAAATACTATGTGTAAGTACAAATTTCTATAACGTACAGTACTAAAATATGTAATAATAAGAATGCATTATAGAAACAGGTAAGCAACAATTCACCTGAAAAATGTATAGCGTTGATATATAATCCTTCAACCTCGATTTGTAGCGGTTTTTGCTGAATTATTTACTCTACGGGTTAGAAGTGCCTTTACTGAAGTATTGCTGGTGCTTTCGATTCATAGTATGGCTCTATTTTGAGATCTATTTAGCCAATAAATAGTATAATAGTATGTACTATAAATGTACGACAAAAACAAAAAAGCACGATGCATACGATGTACGATACATTACCAATAAACTTTTGGACATACACACAAAAATTTCAAACTCTAGTTCTAGTAACTAATATAACTTCTAGCGAACTATAATACGCGAACTTTATTAATTTTTAACTTCGGTTAACAAAATGTCGGGTAAGGATTAATAAACTATATAGGTTGTGTTTTAAACAGTTTTATTTATTATATGTATTTCGTGGAGTAAGTCAAATTATTTTATCTCATTTATTTTACCATTTGATAATTTTTATAGCGACTGTTTTGTTGGTTTCAGAAGAATCATATTATGGTAACGTAGATAATGCTACACATAAGGAACACTTATTTTACGTATTTCGATTTATAAGTAAGGAACTTTTTTTTCAACCCTCCACGTAAATACAAAAGATTGTTGTACTAAAAGGTGTAAAACCGACAAAGACTCGTATTTGTTATTCAAACCGCCCCGTTGAATTATTTAAGAGGTCATTTTGTTTGAAGAAGAAATACGTAATTTCTTACTCGCGATAATATGATTGCTTTTATATTTCGTACGACTTTATTTGCGAAACGTGACATAAATGGAGTGGGATGCTAAGAGCGCTTCATAATACACGACACGATCGGTCCTGGTCAATGTTTGTGCTTTGATGTTTGTAATAACTATGAAGTGTCGTGTGGTTAATTTCACGGCGATATCCTAACTGCATACGAGTATATAGTGGTTCTTGGTAACACTTCGTGTACAGTGTAATTACTTGTGCATAAATCGTTTGTTTTGAATTTCGAGTAGTCAATAATATGAAATCCCTAAATACTAGTAACAAAATAGCGTTATACGAGCGTTAAGTAGCGTAAAGTACGTTAGTATAACAGTGTATAAAATATTAACCAGATTAATAAAAAAAGTCCGTCTCTGTTGTTTAAATAAAATACTTCTAACGGCTTTAAACGCCAAATATTTGCTTAATTTTCTGCTGTAAAACATAACTAACATAAAATGAATCAGTTAACTATTTTATTTCACTTTTTAATCCAACAAATTCTAGAAAATCTGGTCATATAATGGGTGGAAATAATATCAACATTGACCGCCTCTGTAGCCAAATGTTTCAAAGTATTGCCTAGCATTGCGTTAAGCGCGGAGGTCCTGGGTTCGAATCCCAGGGATGCATAATATTGTTTCGGTCGGGCAGGGCACAGAAGTCTGATCAACTACTTGCCTGTTAAAAGGACAGATCAGTGAAACGGGCATAGAAATGTGTTTGCTACATGACCCACGAGGGGGAAACGGGCTTACACAACAACATTATCAAAATTCATTTCGCGTCATGAACTAACGTCCACAGACGGAAAAGCCGTTAATATTAATACGTACGCGTTTCTTTTTCAGTCTGTAAATACCGAATGTACCATGATAAGAATCGTAAACGCAAAAAGAAAGGACACCAAAAAAAATAATATATGATTGTAAAATTAATTATCAGGGTGTGCGCTGTTAGAAACGATAGCCCTAATAGGTTTCACAGAAGGAAAAATCGTTTCGGCATTTATTAGCTTTCCATTATTCATACGATGTTCGAGCTTAGAAACGAGGGCTTATATGTTTGACATCATATAATTTGAATAAAATAAGAACGCGTCTCTCTGCTAAAATACTGCGCAAAACAAAATATTCTTCACCGTGGAAAAAATACCGCTTTAAAATTATTTATTCCCAACTTTCAATACAAGTAGAATTTCTCTTTCCGCTTCGTTTATAAGTGATCGTGGTGCCAAAGTTGCGAAGTTGATATTTTTTTCTGAAAGTATAATTCTATTCTTAAACTGCTTTTTACAATAACACAAACAGTAATTTCTTTTAAAAGAGTATTTTTTTTATCCAAAAATACATTACTTTGAGCACCTAAGTTAATGACATTTCACATTTACTTAGTTTACATAAAATAAGGAAGTAAGACATAGAGTGAATATGATAGTGTCAAATTTAACGACATCTGTGGTATCGTGTAGATTAAAACATTCCCAACATTGGAGCCTTCCTTAACTTAAATATTGAAAATCCCTCTATGAGTATTATTGAGCCATTATTGCATACAATAAAGAATTTCATAAAAAACTTTTTTTATAAGTTTATTTTTTCAATATATGCTTCCAGTATTTTATTTAGCCTTTGAGTTGCTTACAGGGACTTGTTGCATTAAACATATACTAGCATTTTTACACTTCTCACTGTATTACCTAGTACAAGATAATTAAGTTGCAATGCCTTTCTTTAATACTATCTTTTGCTTTTTTTATTATGTGTATTTTACATATATTTGTTATTATAATGCATGTACAGAAAATATCTAATATATGTTTTTCTCTTCGCACTTCCGCACTCTTCTGGTGGACCGTCTATATCTTAAGTAAGATTTTATTTTTATTTATTTATATGCACACGTTTTTGAGTTTTTATTTCAATACCAAATAATTTTAAGCACTATATATGTAGCTGTGGTTTATTCGAGTGGTTTAAAATGTACTTAGTTGTATGTATAGTTTACTCGTTACATAAAACACTTTTATATATTTAAAAGTGTTTTATCAATATATGTAATAAGATCTCATTCAATAGTATCTGTCGTTCACGCGAGTAGTACACATTTAAATAAAACACTTTAACGGTTTAAAACGCGATATATTTTAGTTAAACTTTTTTGAGAATTATTTTTAACTACGGCTCGACGTTTCGGATGCTTTGCAGCAGCTGTGGTCTCGGATAGACTAAAGATGGAGGGTGTCTCTGACGTCACAGTAAAAACTGCTACGCTAGCGCTATCTGTTTCGTCGAAGTTGGTATTTGATGAAGCTGGCCGGCAGAATTGACCGTTAGTTTTCAATTTATTAGCTTAATTAATGTATACCGCGTTTCAAACCGTTAAAGTGTTTTATTTAGATCTCATTCATATAAACTCTTCGCTTAATTGCTTGCGTTAATGTAAACATTATAAAAAATATGAGAAAGCTGGATATTTCTTTTATATATTTGAGAATCTTCCCAATCACTGATGGATAATGCCTCCATATATACATATATGGGATGGTGTATAGTAAACATTCGGTGACAGTAATAAAAGACATAAAATAGCTGAGGCACGGTCTGTTTACATTGTAGCAAGCGTTGGATAGAATTGATTGTCATTCGCTCGAAGGTTGTCCCCTGTCATTTCTTCGATATATTTTTTCAAGGAAATGGTTTGGTAAACTGCTTGCCGCTTTTTCGCTGTTTATTTTACTTTGCTTTAGGGTAGAGATTTTATATTCAGAGACAATTTTCTTAGGGTTGCAATAGTAAATCGTCATGCGAGTGTTTTGTTATGCCTTTGTGTATGTAGTCTTTATTTAAAAACAAATAAAAATGCAATTAGGTTGAAATTCATGATATCAGCAGGACTTGAACGGGCATACACATGAACATTCAATACTGCTCTAACCATTCAGCTATGCCAGTATGTGATGTGCAAACAAATATTGAAGTTTTTATTAAAAAATAGTAAAAAACATAATAATTTCTTAAAAATTGCTTTTTTTGGATAAATTAAGTGCTTAATCATGTGTTATTATTGTGTTAAGTATAAATAAATAACCCTAGCCAATCGGTCATCGCATCTGGCTAACCAACTGTAATCTGAACTTCTTTTAAGAATACTAAGTTTAAATAAAACACTTTAACGGTTTAAAACGCGATATATTAGTTAACCTTATTTGAAAATGATTTTTAACTTCGGCCCGACGTTTCGGATGCTTTGCAGAAGCCGTGGTCACGGGGAGACTGCTGCAAAGCATACGAAATGTCGGGCCCAAGTTAAAAATCATTTTCAAATAAGTTTAACTAATATATCGCGTTTTAAATCGTTAAAATGTTTTATTTAAATGTGTACTACTCGCGTAAACTATAGACAGTATAAAACTAAGTTTATCTAGAGACTCAAAAGTAAGTAAAAAACTTTGAGTTGTATGCTCTAAAGCTATGAGCATCTACGTGTTCTACGAAAGTTTACGGCTAAGAAATAAGACTTACAAAAAAAGATGTACAATCCTGTTTCTCTAATAAGCCAACACATTTCTGTATTCACTGATTTTTTTTTCTAATTTATTTATCAGTTTATCATCTCAACAGGCAAAGCAAAGCTGGCTAAGCTACAATTTTAATGTTTCCCGAGTATTCGTATTATATTATATTAAGCCACAAAGCGAGTCAAGGTGACGTTAAATTAACGCGAAATGAACGCTGTCGTATGATTTCGTAGCCGTTTTAGTTGTAAGCTGGAAAGAATTAAAGATTAATCTCTGGATTATTTACTGTTACGAAAGTATTAAAAGTCATCATTTTTAGCCATAGGTTGCAACTCTTAGTAAAAATAAACGCGAAGCCTTCGTCTTCTTCATTTCTTAGGTCTTTACCTAAACAAGGAATGTCTTTCCAGCTATGACGGTCGCATTATACAGTTAACTGAAAATAGCACAAAATATTTTCGGATACAGTTTCGGGTTTTTGATATTTGTTCTTACAGACATACTTTTTAGTATAGGTTACCTTAGATATATGTATTTTTTTTTATTATGTCTCTAGTGATTTGCTAGCTAGGGATGACGAGGACTCTCCTTGCTTGGGGGTTGTCCATTAATCACGTGACGCTTGAAAGGGGGGGGAGGGGTTTGATAAAAATCACGAAAATAACACAAGGGCGGAGGGGGGGGTGTAGTAAGATATCTCGTGTATTAATTCGAAACAAAGAGTTTTTATTCACCTGTATTTATATTAAGATAATATTCAGAAAATTTTAAGATTCTTTGTAGGTACTAAAAATACACGTGATGTTGAGAAGGGGGAGGGGGGTGGTCTCAAACCTCACTACGTATCACAAATGGGGTCGGGGGGGTTTAAAAATTCTAATAAAAGGTCACGTGTTTAATGGACAACCCCTTGGTCAGAAAATTAAATATGTTATGTTATCACAAACACAATATTAAAAGAATATTATAAATACTGTCTATAGTTTACGCGAGTAGTACACATTTTAAAAAAATACTTTAACGGTTTAAAACGCGATAAATTAGTTAAACTTATTTGAAAATGATTTTTAACTTCGGCCCAACGTTTTGGATGCTTTGCAGCAGCCAAGGTCACGGGGAGCTATTTCAAAGCAAGTAACGAATGTACGTAAATTTTTATTTTCTAATTTTTTGCCTACCAATTTACGTTTCCAATTTTACGGGTCCACGGTTCTGAATTAATTTTTTTGATTTATTGCCATTACGGATCATAACTCAATTCGGAAATCTTAAGCCGCACCCACCGAATAATTTTTGGGATTGAAAATCTATTCACTTTCCCCTCGCAGTTTATCACGAACGTTTAGAGAACAAGCGATCATTAATTAATTTTTGCTCAATTATCATCGGATTTTGGCAATCGAAAGTGTACCAAAGGACCCACGAAATAAGGTGTAGAGTTGTTTAAATTCGTGTAGCATATTATAACACAATAGTCGTGGTTTCAGAGCAATTAGGTTGATGGTTATTTGCGCGTTTTCTATGCGTTTTGCTTCTGTTGTGTCTTTAGTTATTTTGAAAAGCGTCACGTTGGTGTAACTGCTTTTGTATATAATTAATGGTGGGAAAGAGGCGACGTTGTTGTAAGTTGAAAAATACAAATTGAGTGTTTTTGCTTGATACAAAAAGGTTTTATTCTCTGAACTTAACACTTTATTAGACACGCTTGTCTAAAATAAAAAACAAAACTAATTATTAACCTTTTAAATGAAACACTTTAACGGTAAGCAGCCGTGGTCTCCCCGTGACCACGATTGCTACAAAGCATCCGAAACGTCAGGCCGACGTTAAAAATCATTTTCAAATAAGTTTAACTAATTTATCGCGTTTTAAACCGTTAAACTATTTATTTTAAATGTGTACTACGCGCGTATACTATAGACAGTATTTCATTATAAGCCTGTCTAAACTGATAAAAATAGGTTGAAGGTAATTATTTCTTGGTATAAGCAACGTGTAATTTTCTAAATGGTATTTTCATTGTTATACAGGCACGAATACAAAGCAACATTGTTGACGTTGAAAGCCAATATCATCTAGATTCTAGATTATTCCATTGCTAAAGTGCTATGATTAATGAAAATTATTTATTACCTAAGCATCTCTGAGACAAATGCTTCACGGCTGTTTTCGCTTGGAATAGCAGCTATGTAGAAGTTCATTCTTAAGTAACTCTTAAGGAAACTAGAAACACAAAAATTCCCAATAAGACTATGCTTTATATGTATATACATGTAAAATAATAATATATACACTAACTTATGATGTAGAAACCTTATAATATATCATAATATGGTATTTTAATGCACAATGATTATCTGCAAAAGAACCTATTTCTTGGCTAAGAAGATAAAAGTTTTATTCTTTTGATAATAGAAAAGCTATGTACAGAATACGTCGTTCGTAATATTCACTACTTAAGAGTTACTTATGTTCCTAATTAAAACCCAGCCTTATAAGATTTCTACCAAAACTTTATATTGCGTTATATTTACCAGTTCGGAACAAACCTGTCTCTTCTGGCCGTGAAGTGAACAAATTAACGACCCTCGCGGAGGACGAATGCGTCGTGGCCATGATGGGGCTGCCAAGAGCCGGCGAAATAACCAGGGCGCAGCTTAGGATAAAAGAAAGCAAAGAGTTTAAGGTACTACTGTTATTTATGTCCACTGTGGTTATATTTATAATAGTCAATAAATTGTTATATATTACTTATATCCCTGTCAGGAACTTGCATTTAGAATATAGTCGATTCAATAATCGAATTACACTATCTTCTCTTGCCAATCTTGCCAATGCAAGTAATATAATCGAACATCAGTGATGTGCTCTACTAAAAGCATTTTTGTTTTCCAGAATTCAAACCTAGGAAATCTTATGTTCACAATTTTATTAAATGCGTATAACGTTGAACTCCTGAGTTAGCTTTAAAAATATAACTTTTAAGAATTCTTAGCGTTGGCAATTTTTTATTTAAATTGTCAAACGCATATTGTAGAAATAAACCATTAAATGCATTGCAATTTTCAACACATCCCTTCGAAAATAAGAAGAGTTATTTGTTTTTTGAATGTTTCATTAAAAGCTTTTGTATTTCAGAATACAGTGGACAAACTCGTTCAAAGAGCAAACGCGTCTATTATAATAGGGACCTCCTCATGGAAGGAACAGTTTACAGAAGCCTTAACGGCCAGCTCAGGTACCTTCGCAGTAGAAAATGTATAATATAATGAAGAATCCGGCTTTTTAATAAATGTTTTACAAAGGTGCACTTTTAAAAATTATTTATTTCTTAAACGATTACAAAAAATCTCTTAGTAAAAGACGAAGGTAATTTGCTTTTTAAACTTAGCTAGCATTACGTGCTACCCGCACTGTCTTATAGTTTCAGTTACTTTTTCGTAACCTAACAAAAACCTGTTTACTAACAAAAAGTGGAAAGGTACTAAAATTTCGTTCAAAAAACCGAAATATGCTCATCCTATAAAAAATATACTATTGGAGAAAGGTACTTTTTCAAAATAACATAACCTATAAGAAAAGAGAAGATTCAATGAGTATATTTCTTTCAGATAACCCCGACGAGCCGCCATCTTGTTTAGACTACATAATGCACATTTTGACATTATTTTGGAAAATAATATTCGCATTCGTACCTCCAACAGGTAAAAACAGATAATCTTTATTGTATGAATGAATGAACGGGTTACGGGGGGTACGATTAGTAAGATTAGAAACTATAGTCTACACCTTAAACATAGATAGAGATAAGTAAAAGGTAGAATTCTTATTTATCTGTGGTGTTTGTATGAAATCTATATTTATTGTTTCATCTATAACTTATCTATATAAAATTAATAATTTTACAACTTCAATACTACTACAGTCCCATTTTTATGTATTTTTTTAACCGAGCTAGATTAAAAACCAGCTGTTCAACTCGACACCGACTGTCAATTCCCGATAACCAATTATTTCTGTCTATAATTTGTAAGCATATTAAAATGTGGTCATGTCTGTAATTAAAGCGTGTAGTGCAGATTTAAATAATACACTTTTAACGGTTTAATACGCGAGATGGATTAGTTAACTCATTTACAAATTATTTCAAATACGGACCGAGGGCTGAAGCATTTGAAACGATAAAAATGTTTTATTTAAATATTAAAATCTTATAAGTAATAGGAATGGCAACAAAGTGTATTTGTTTTATTTAAAAACCCATACATACTCAAATTATAGACATTTTGGGATAATCAGCTCAGCAATTAGAACCCAACTGATAGATACTGATGTTAATAAACTTACAGATATTGGCGGTGGGTACGTATGCTTTGTCGTGTCGATAATCTGTATCGGCCTAGTTACTGCCGTCATCGGAGACGTGGCGTCACACTTTGGCTGCACACTTGGCATCAAAGATTCCGTAACAGCGATTATTTTTGTCGCTCTCGGGACGAGTATACCTGGTAAGATATATTTACGACTGCTTTACTGTTTACAACTGAGTGGTGGAGCCAGTTCATATGCGAGTTATCTCAATCATCGATTCTTCCTCATTGCCACCTCCTCAGGTGCTCTTCAGATTCTATAAAATTATAGCTGAAAAAATACAAGTCTGCAGATTTGATGCCGTCGAATATAACAGACATTTCTGTGTCTATTCATCGATTAATTTTAGTGAGAAGTTGAAGCAACAGGCTCTGCTTAACGACAGCCCGACCGAATCTTTTTCTCATATTCACTCAAGATCTGGACCTAACATCTCTCATACATTACAAGACCATCTCCATGGTAACATAGTTTAAACTATGATGGTGGTATAAAATTGTATGTACGCCTACATTAGATAATATTATTTTCCTTTTAAACTAAAAATATATAAACATCTTTCGTGCAGATGTCACCTAAGGATTATGTTATGGATATGAAGGCCCGTTTATAATTCGACTAATGTGTAAAGGCTTTTAGCCGATATCAAATAATGGCCTCCGATGGCCCTTTTGCGGCTAATATGAAGCGTGAGGACAGAATATATCTTAGTATGTTTACTTAGGATGCGGGAATATTTTTGTCGGTGTTTTTGAGATAATTGTTTGCATTGAGTCAGAATATATTCAAAAATTAAAAAGTTATTCGTTTTTTAGCAATTTATTACGCAGATCACGAGGCCACGAAACGAGCGAAATATTATAACTTTGACATTAATCGTTTTAATCTGTCAATGTGCCTTTGAAACACCATCACCAACAACCTATAAACCATAAATATATGTATATATTTTATATTTATTTAACTTACTTATGCTTAGAATCTTACTAATTATAATCCAACCCGATAAAGATACCGTCTAGCGGTTTAAGCATACCAGCTTCAGTACCTTAGGACGTCAAAAAAGTCAGTCAAATCCCTTTGTTAACCGGCCTATCCCCAGCAAGTCTTGCGTATTACAGTCATAGTCGTTCAGGTACAGAGCTTTTGGTGTTTTCGATTCCAATATTATTTTATACTTGATTGGTTTGTAAATTTATGACAGAAGAAGACAAACAAGCATGGTACTCACTTGGTGAAATACCAAGATGCATTGTCAACTTTGGATTTGGACCCTTCTTTAATTTAATTTCTACTTGTCATACAGACACATTTGCCAGTAAAGTGGCAGCTATTCAAGATAAACACGCAGACGCATCTGTGGGCAATGTAACGGGCTCAAACGCCGTCAACGTGTTTCTGGGTATCGGCGTAGCTTGGACTGTCGCCGCCGTGGTGCATTGGACGAGGAACGAGAAGTTTCACGTTGAACCGGGAAAGTGAGTAATAAATACCTAAAACATATACGCACACAACAAGCATAGTAGAATCTACCACAAAGATATTTTACTTATGCATTTTAAATTATAAGATAAGATATCCGAACAATTTTTAATCTATACTAATTGCTATGCTGTTTGTTTGTTTGAGCGCGCTAATCTCAGGAACGACTGGATTGAATTGAAAAATTATTTAGCAAGTCTATAAAACATCGCAATGACTAATCGAATTGACAAACAATGGAAAATTTGGATAAACTGGGTAATTTCTTGAGGGCTTCCGGCATTGCGTAAACGGTTAAAGGAACCAAAAAAATATATATGAAATAATGATTCCTCTTCAAATGATTTTAAAAATGTCAACGGTATATGTTTATCTATTACGATTAACTTACAATAATACGGGGCCCGTAAGACGTCCTCTCCGATTGTTTGCAAAAATAAATATCCGGTATTTACGCATTCCGATTGTCCACAGCCTAGCATTCAGCGTGACGATGTTCTGCTCCGAGGCAGCGCTTGTGGTGATAGTCCTAATGATGCGCCGGCGCAAGTCAGTCGGCGGTGAATTAGGAGGACCGCGCGGCGTGAAGATTCTAACCTCAATATTCTTCTTTTTATTGTGGGTCATTTACCTTACTATGTCTAGCTTAGAAGCCTATGGCGTTATTAAAGGATTCTAAAATTGCTGTTTGAAGCATTTGGAGAAATTCTCGATTAATTGCTAATCGATTTATTTTGGTGTCTTCGATTCCATTATTTATCGTTCTATTATGAGATTTAGACAATTTACATATGATTTACAAAAGTAATTGAATACCCGTTCGATAAGAAATATTAAACCGCTTGATGAAGAAAATAAAGGACGGTCAATGCCAAAATAAAACCTGATAGCTTGGTATTAAGGGTACCAAACGGTTGGACAGTTCTTAGGTGCTTAGAAATATTTAAGTAATTATAATTTTAAACACATTTTATTTTATGTCTTTGTGGAATGAAACGCTTCAATAGATATTTACTATTTATTTAATACTTGTGCTTTAGAAATCGCATTGATACATTGTGTAATGCTAGATTTTATTATGTTTTTTTTTTTAATTTCATAGATTTTTTAACTCAACGGGACGGGTTTCGAGCGATAATGTTAAGACACCTTTTACTATTAAAGATAGTTGAATAGATTAGTTGTTGCAAGCAACTAGAGGCATTGTGCTCAAAGTGTACAGGTAGAGTGTCTCTTCTTCCCTTAGTAAATATGTCGTAGGCTTAGTGAATACCATAAGAAGGCACGGTGTTGTATATTCTAAGGGAAATATTTCAACTCATATATATTTCGTAGTCCATTTGACTTCACAAAGGACTCTGATTGAACAGACAATAAACACAGCCACAGATAGAAGATTTAGAGAATTCAATTTTAAATAAGAATCAAACCCCAACAGCGTTTCGTGCTGTTGTTCGCCACCTCAGTTATAATGCATCTGCATTTTTATACCGTCTGTAGTGTACGCGAGTAGTATATTAAAAACCCTTCGACGGTTTAACTATTACATTTTGTGTTGTATACCGTTAACGTGTTTTACAAACCTATCGTTTGTTTTTAGATCGAAAAACGGGTTCTTTTCGAGTCAACTACCTGTTTATCCCTGTCTGCTCTGTATATACAATAACATGCCTTATCCTATGGGTAAATGTATTTTGTGCATAATTACGTGTTATTCCAGTCTTATCGTCTCATGTTCGTAGCCTTGATGGCTGTGGTAAAAGGTCTAACTAGGTGATAAATAGAGGATATAAATATATATGTATAAAAATTGAGATCTATTGTGTCGTAGCTCGTTTGTGCGATGTATCTTACTGTAATATTCGTTCTGTGTGCCATAGTAATTGCGAATTTGTGGTTTCTATTTCATAAAGTAATTGTAAGCATGTATTTAACTTTTAGTTTTTTTTTTAATAAATAAGGCATTGGCCATTTACAGAGCTTTCCAGCTGTTCGGCTGTTAAGTCCCTGCTTTGTGAGGAACGCTCAACTTCTAGTGATGCCATCCACTAGAGATAGCTCTTCTCAATAACGACGACCGAACAACTCGGAAAGCCAGGTGGCTTTGATTATTTTTTTAATACTCGAAATAGTTCTTAAATTATGTTATTTTTAAGTCGGTTACAAAACGTTTGCTATAATACCATCTTCGAAAACAAGACATGTCTAATCTATGGCTTTTTGTAGCACCATTAATTAATTATGAGGTTATTTAAATTATTGTATGAGACCACAAATAACGCTTAATTTAGTTTATAAAACCAAAGCCTAATTATTAGTTTAAAAATACACCCACTACACTACAGAAGACAATTGTGTTTATTATTATATAATTTTTATAACATAGGTTATGATAGATAATATGGTAAAGTAGACATATTGTATCGCCACTGCTAGACATTTTAAATATTAAAACTATACACAGATAATAATTAGTACAGCATATTTATTAAATGATTGTTTTGATATTTTTCGTACATAGCAACCTTTATAAATGCGTACGTTGTTTATTTCATAATTTTATTATATTTATTCAATGGAGTGTATAACCCTATGTCATAATTATGAAGGAAAGAGTATTCGATAATCATATTTATTTTTTTAAAAGCTAAATTATACGTTTACAGAAAGCTTTATTCAATTAAAAAACTATGTTTTTTATAGAAATTTTATATACGCATTCAGTGCAAAGAACACATTATTTTCAGTTATATAAATTGCTAATATTACATTTAATTAAATAAGTATATTTAATATACTTGTTCGATACACACAAAATAGAAGACCATTTTTTTAGTCAGCCATGTGTCATAAAGCAATTATAAGAAAAAGTAAAATAAACAAACCTCTTGCAAACATACTTAGGGTACTTTCTTGTAGACTTCACCTACACTTCTGTAGCTATTCTACTAAATATACACTTATTCTATAAAAATATCAATTTGAAATTCTATGAATTTGAAGACAAATTAAATGTTTTTGAAAAGTTACTGGTACAACTTATCAGTAGTTTGTGTTTTTAAAGTTTACACTTAGCTTTCTAAAATTTATAAATTTATTAATAATGGCATTTAGTAATTTGGATTGCTTTTACAATAGTGATGATTACAACGAACGATTTAAATATGTTTCCATTACTGGTGTATTCGCTTCTAATATTAAAGTATCAAAAAACAGGTCCTAGATTTTCACGACGAACCAAGTATAATATGACCAAGGGGGGACATAGTCGTGGTCAAAATGCAAAAATATTTAGCTTTATTGTACACTTGAAGAACTTAACACATAATCACTTTTAAATAAAATCAATATGTTCAATTATTGGTCTTAGGTAAGTTCAGGAACCAGGTCCCCCCTTACATCCGTCGTTTATGACTTAATTTGGGCTTTATATTAATTGAATATTAAGTTGAAGGGCGTTAAAATTAAAGTTCTTTCTCTTCAAAGTCAACACACTTGCTTGAGGTTTGCAGTAACATAAACTGTATTTTTCTTCCTATGTCAAAATTTCCTTAAAATCTTAAAGGAGTCTCTGCACGCGAACAGATAAATGAAACAATTTTGACAGATGAAAACATTGAATGTATGAGTTGATTAATCTTTTAATGCCTGGTGCCATTTACATATAACAATTAAACATTTATTACAATATAACATTTGCTGTTATTTAAACCTAGGTTCTTATTTTAAAAATTGATAAACTAATCTAGGTTGCGTTTTCACTCATGACAAGTGTTTTGTTTAAATTTGGATATTGGACCTCTCAGCCGGAATATAAACTAATTGTAATTGACCCGGTCAAATGCAGTAACGAGTAAATTTGGGCACAGCTGTAATATAATTACCAAAAACGAATTTCTAATATTACAAGCGAATTCACCAAGTTAGGGGGCATTAACAGCGGAGACTTTTGGAAATATTAGCTTTTCCAACTTTGACAGTTACGAGTCTGGACCAAGTTCGTTTCGAATTTATTTAACATAGAACTTTTACATTTTCACAGTTATTTAAGATTAGCCTTTTGAAATTGTAGTTTTTGCAATTACCACACTTTTGTTGAGGGACAACATTTTAACCAACTATATTATTAATTTGTATAAAATTTGTGAAAATTTTATGTAGAAATGGTTAAAATAGCGGAAATGCATGTTTTAATATTTATAAAATTATCGTACGTTTTCTTTTAAAACGTTGAGCGACCACGGCAGTTTTAATGGCTAAAGCACTCGACCCTATGCAATTTTCTAGCGAAATGAAAGTCGCCGTCTAAGCCAGGATAGCAGACAACACAAGGCCAACATCCGGTAGATGTGTTTCCACGCCATTTTAAATAAGCTGAGGCCAGTATAACTAAAGCGACTCCAAACCCCAAACTATGTTAAAATTGTAATTGGAAATGCAGTTCGGCCATAAGGTTGAAATTAAAGGTTAAACAATACGAACTAACCGCTTAAAACGAGAAATATTAATTAATATATAATTCTTTAAATACTGTCTGTAGTTTACGCGAATAGTACACATTTCAAAACATAACTTTAACGTTTTAAAACGCAATATATTATATTAGTTAAACTTATTTGAAAATTATTTTACCTAGCGAAGCAGTTTTTACTTTGACTTCCGAGACATCCTCCATCTTTAGTCTCCCCGTGACCACGATTGGCGCAAAGCATCCGAAATATCGAGCCGTAGATAAAATAATTTTCAAACAAGTTTAACTAGATATATCGCGTTTTAAACAGTAATGCGTTTTTCAATATTGTTCTTTACCTTGTTCTGTTAACTCGGCCAAAAACTTCGGAGAGTAAATAAAACAATACATTACTCGTATTTCCACAATTCAGATTGTAAGGACAGTTTTGCCGAGTATAACTTAGATGCTAAAGAGAAAAAGATCTATTAAACATCTACTGCCAAATCGTTTTTTTTATTGTATATGCGTAAGTAAGGAGAAGCATAAGAAGGTACGCATAGCTGTGTTTTTATTTGACAATTACGATTTCAACTAAGTTGGGGTGTCGAGTCTGTCATAATACAAAATTCGATCTAAGTATTTGCAGCCTAGCTTCTAATATAGTGTGTGAGAACCCTTTTATCTGCTGTGAAGATGACGATTATATTGAACTTTGTGAAAATGTATTGTTATATGTTAAGTTGTTTAGGTATATACTCACTTGAGTTATATTTCTTTAGTTTAGTTTATGGGGATCAAACGTCTCATTCATATTATATACGAATATTTACTACTAATGCGGGTAGTTTAAAATAATTTCCATTGACAATACATTTTCTCAAGAATTATATAAGCGTTGGCTTGCGGAATCAACTTTCAATTTAAAGTATTATAGCCATTAAACATTAATGACTTAATGTAATTTTCCGTCTCTTTCTGTCATTTGTAAAACGTAATGAAATCAACAATAACTGACGCTGATAAAAATAAACAATCTTATACAATTTTACAACGAATACACAGTTAAACTAGACCTATGTAATAAAGAATGAAATTATCAAATGCACGAAATCTTTAGACAAGAAATGTAATAAATATTTAGCAGTATACTTACTAAGTGCACTGTTGTTCAAAACCAAGATATTTTAGCCAAAGAGTTTAGCATGTGTTTTATATAATCTTAATAT